GGTTATTTTCCGGAGAAACGGTCAACTTTGTTCTCTAAATCCGTTTTGGACATGAATCAACCTTCCAACCCTTCATTCTTCACATATAACATGTAGAATGATCCTAGGGGTATGAAATATGATTAAATAATCATATTTGGAAGATTAAGGAAGAGGAATGAGATTAATGGAGTTATTACCTTGTAAATCCTCAAGTTTTCCTCCTTCTTTCTCTTCTCTTTCCCCTCCTTCTTCTCCTTAAGCTTTGGTTCGAGTATGGTGGATGAAAATGGAGTTTCTCCAGACCTTATCTCTCCTCTTTGAGTGTCTTGGTCGAGCCTATGAGTTTAGGGGTGATGGAGAATGCCTTTTTGGCATTTCTCTCAATAATACCATGGCAAAGGCCCACCCTCCTATTGATTGGTCTCCCAATCACTTCCTCCTTGCTTCTCCATGTGGTGTGTGCGGCCCTCTTTGACATTTGCAGCACCCAAGTCGTGGGGTGGTCCCCACTTATGTGGGAGATCATCCCTTTGAGTCTCTAAGTGTACACTCGGTCCCGAAAGTTGTATTTTCCGGACTGTTTTAACTGTATTTCATTTTATCGGGTAAAATGAAATATCTATCATTCTTCCAACCATTATTGGATTTTAGAATGAATATATACTCCCCAACTTTTATTTTAGTGGTCTCCATAATTTATTATGACGTTTATCTGTCAGTACATCCGGTACCGATAAATGGGCTTTATATGCACAACTGGCCAACACACATGGTTTATAACTTTATATGGCCCAACATGGACATCCACCATCATATACATATTATCTAGACTGAGATGAATATAATATGTGGTCCCGATAATATCGGACGGTCCCCACCCCTGGTGTGGGCCCCACGTGAATTTTACTATCCACGTAAAAGAATGATAAAAATCACAATCGCGTAAATATGAGTTTATTCATTCCGCATGGTTCAGTACATGACTTGATAGAATACAAATACTTGGGGGCGGTGTTACATAATTATTGGAGCGACGTGTCCTGCGCATAGCGCTAGTGACGTGGCAGCAACTTGTGCAATACTTGATTGCTGGAATGATAAGTCCACATTTGGTTATTGAGGCCCCGAGCTCCGTGAGGTCAGAGCTTGGGTATAGTGAGTTCATTCCAAAGGATTCGGGTGTTCAATTTGTTTTGGTGGCGATCATTTCTTCATATCCGTTGACTCTCGTTGACTCGTGTTTGTTCCGAGGTCGGATATCGTACCAAGCTTGGTGTGTTCGAGGTCGGCCTTAGATTTGGCCGTATCCCAGTGATCTAGGAGCTCGAAGTTTGAGTCGGCCTCGGGGTGTCGAGGTCGGCCTCGGCCGTGGTTTCATACTTTGTCGATTTGTGGACTTGTGTTGTGACCGGACCTCGTGCGTCAAGGTCGGCCTTGACTGGAATTTCGTACTAAATGTTGATACAACCGAAGTCCTTGTCCATTGATTATGATACCCCTAGGGTATATGGGAGTATACTCCATCAATAACATTTATTGCATCACATTCCAGATTTCATGTGATGAGATTACCCCCCAAACTAAATTGGCCCTATGTGTAGAGTGATAAGACTAGCGACAATCTCGTTAACCTTTCTACGCGTGTCAATCTCGAGTCAAGTGTCGAGATCATTATACTAGAGGATTGGGTCGGATCTTGTGGATGGTAGTATCCCTGCCCACCCTCCTGGCATGAGACCATGAGGTCGTAGTCTCAATCGACTTCTTCAGGTGCATCGAGGGGGCGCAGTTAGTTTGCATTCTCATTTCTTTCCCGTTTGTTCTGAAGACTGGTTTTTTATAGAGGAAGAAAGTTTACACTTTATTATCATTTCTCTTAACAAGAGCATCAAATGACTACTACACGGGAATACCATTAAATGATATCTATGAAGAAGGCGGAACTAATAACTTAGAGAGACGAGAAAATTGCGTTAACTAATGTCCGACCGTTACATCTATCCAATACAGGCTATTTAATTAGTCATAAATCTTAAATTCATTCATTGCGCATACACGTGCAAGCTAATATGTAAGGTGAAACTTTGAAGTAGGGCACAATCGGGCACATGTTGGGGCATTAAAATGTGTCTACTAATGACTATAGGAGGAGGGAGCGAGGGTTCACCTAGAGGACAAAGACTTTTGGATCCGGTTTATCAGTACTCCAGCCTGCATGTTGTTGCAGCCCTCAGTTGTATGACGACTCATCCAAGGGGTTGTTGGTCTTCCATTTGGCTTTAGCGGGTTATTGGGCGTGTTCTAGTGTGGTGGAACCGTGGACCGGGCTTTGAGAATAATATGCCCCGTCAATACTTATAACTCATATTTTGGAAGTTAAAACAAGTGAACCTAGCTATTTTTGGTTTTGATAAATGTTTAAGAAGGTTTTTCCTAAAATATCAGTGAAATTAAGTAAATTTAAGGATAGAAATGTGACTAAGGTACTATAAGTCCATGATTACAACATTGTGATAAGTGTCATGTAAAATTAAACACAATAATAGTTACTAAAATTTACTAATGCATTGAATTTGTATAAAAGATCTCATTTTTTGTCCATCATCTCAATCTTAATAATATATTTGTCATTAACTCCTATTTGGCATATAATATCACTGAAATGCATAGGGAAAATTTTAATGCTTGCTGACTGGGATGGTGGGGTTGAGTGAGACAACGGCATTGTAAAATCTTCTTCTAATGTTGTGGCTCCTTATGTGAATCATGCCCTAACGCATTCTATATGTTGCACGGAGACGGAGACGTCGATACGCCGATACACGAATACGAGTATGGCAACTGCGATAATTATAGTAGACAAATATAATTTGCAAATATATACAATCAATAGGTTTTTTTTATCATAAAAGAGTGGCCGTTATATTAAAATCGAGAACACATACAAGACAACCTTTAGATAGAAATTGCAGATCCAATCGTGAACCCTATGAGTAGACTTAGAGTCAGTCACCTCATACAAAACAACATGACTCGCTAAACCTTAAACGGGCAAACTTAGGCCTAAAACGACCAGAACCTAAACCCTGCCTCTCAAGAGGACTCCAAAAATCCAAACATTCAACCCAAATGTACTCAGACAAAAACAGAAATAAGTGCTACTAAAGAAAAAAATAATACTGAAATAAAATCTTTCCACAAAACTCTTCCTGATATGGAAGTGGTTCCAGAGGAAGACGAGTTCTTACAATATGGGTGAATACCAGCTGCACCACCGTCGTAATGGCCGACCAAGGCTTCATGATCCCGCCTCGATACAACCTTCCTGCCGCACCTCATTCATCCGCCAACGCTATCTCCTCCGACGTAGTTGCAACCCCAAACGTTAGAACACTTAAAGTCAATATAATCTGCCGCTCCAACCCCACATTGATAGGGGCAGCGAAAAATGTCAACTCCTACAAAGAAGGGAGACGACCGCTAGGGTTCCTCTCTCGCTAGAGAGAAGAGAGAACCGTATGAATTGAAACAAATTAACAATCATACTAAAATTTCAAAGATTGGACAAAAAACACTACAAAAAAGTGCACATAAACTGCACATGGACCACAAATTTTTTTGCGATGGCAGCATAACTGTCGTTAAAAACACCATTAACCACACATTTTTTTATTTACCACACACAAAAATGTGGTTAAAGCTTAGAGACGACAGTTTTTAACCGTGGCCAATGTTTTTACCACAGCTGTTGTGCCGACGCACGTAAAACTGTCGTAAAAACATAAGGAGAAACATTTACGACAGTTTTGCGTCAGTTTTACGTGCGTGCCACAATAACCGTGGTAAAAACATTGGCCACAGTTAAAAACTGTCGTCTCTGACCTTTTACCACAGTTTTGTATGTGGTAAATAAAAAATGTGTGGTTAATAGTGTTTTTAACGACAGTTATGCGGCCATCGCAAAAACAAAATTGGTCTATGTGCACTTTTCTTGTAGTGAAAATAAAACTAAAATACTAATACTTCAATATAAATTTAAATAACATATGATTCTCTATCGTGACACATACAAAAATTGTTTGTAAACAAACAACCGTTTTTGTACCATGCACACTATCATCTCTACAAAAAAGGCACAAAACTGATGTATACACACAAACAATTTTTTGGCGATGGTCTAACTCCACATACAATTTTATAAGATGACTGACAATAATTTCGACAACTTTTCATCTCCGATTTGTTTCTGGTGACTTTTAGTTATAATTTTCAATTTTATTTCTTCATACAGACACAATTTATCAAATTTTAGAAAGTCACAGGCGATTTTTATATAATACGGAGTATATACACAATAATTCTGATGATTGTTCAGTTCCAATTTGGTTCCCCGGGCGACCATCCATCTCTGACGAATCTAAAAATGAAAAATGAAGTGGGAAAAATGAAAAATGATGAAGATGAAAATGATAAAGATGGGAGATGGTGAAGGGGATTAAAGATGACACAAGATGGTGAAAATGGAAGGAAATGGGGGGGGGGGGCTGTAGCAAAGGGGTAGGGAAAAGGGAGAAGACATGTTTTTTTGGGTACATATAGTGGATATAAAGTGAGCAAAATTAATCTAATATAGTGAGATTTTTTCATGTCTCAATGTCAATGGGGCGAATGTAATAACACATAATTCATTTGTTTCTCATTCTTTGTTATTTCTTTTGCTTATCGCAAACTTTGCATCTTTTATACTCCCTTCGTATTTTAAAGTTTCCTACACTTTCTTTTCTGGGATGTATTTAAAAATTTCATACACTTTCATTTTGGTAAATTTACTATTTATAAAATACTCAATTACCCATTTTGACAGTTTTAAGGCCGGGTGGCTGGGTTTGGGTTAAACCGCCCGGTGCGGTCCAGTTCCAATAACATAGGTCGTGGAGGCCCAATTTATCAAATCAAAGTTAGAAAAGAAAGTACACGCATTCGCATGTACGGACTCTTTCAAAAAATCGATCATTTTCCCGCGCGCGCGAAATCGAAACCTCCTCGTATCTACTTTCAAGTTCCCGCCATTGCTACCCTATTGCACATGTACATCACTGCACCGTTGACTCAGCGAGGCAGAGAGCAGCCTCCACCAACCAGAAGACGCCGCCGCCTACCGCGCTCTGCCGGCTGCCCAAACCCGTCAGTCCGCCAAACGCCGCCCGCCCGCCTGCTGCACTGCCGCAGTGCCGCACCGACACGTCGTATAAATCCCCAAATACCCGTCACTATTCATCAAGTCCAGTCGGAAATGGATCTCTTTGCCAAAAAGCTCGGCCTCTCTGAGAACAAGATGCTCATCCGTAAAGCTGCTGAGCTCCGACGTCAGGCCGATATCCAATTCGATTCATCCGTTATCGGCGTTGTAAGTAAAATATGTGCAGGATCAGTGTCTTCCCCTCTTAATTGTACAAAAATTGCATTCATGCCTGACTCTAATTGTTTGCTGATTATTGTTTCTTTTTTATTTTACAGGGTGAAGTATGCAAAGCGATCATCTGCCTTGAAATCGCCGCTTCTGGGTATGTTTGTGCATTAAAACCTTATAGAAGTGTTCTTCTATAGAAATATGTATATGATTTGAGTCGGATTTTCTTCCTGCAAATTAATGATTGAGTTACATAGTATGTATTTGTGATAATCTTCGATCTGGGGCATGTTTTTGTAATAATGTTTAAACATCGCCTGTGAATGTAGGATGGGTGTGATATTTGATCGGCAGGCTGCAATCAAGTTGAGTGGAATGACAGAAAAGGCTTACAATAGATCATTCAATTCATTGCAGAGCGGCATTGGAGTCAAGTAAGTTCTTGAAAACCGTTCCTTCTTCTTCTGAATTCTGAGTATTGCTAATGTTGTCTAAGTTGTGTAAAAGGTTTCCTTTTTGTGCAGGAGTAAGCTCGATATTCGCGAATTGGCAATTCAGTTTGGGTGCATTAGGCTGATACCTATAGTTCAGAAAGGTCTAGCACTGTAAGTAATGTTATGTGATGATGCATTTGGTTTTACACTTCATATTCTTTTCTACACTACTTATTCTTTTTGTTCACTCTAAGTCACGTCTTAGACAGAAGTGCTAGTCAATCCTATTCAATTAAGCTTGAAATTCTGATATTATTAATGAACTTGAACCATGGACTTAGATTTAGGTCAACAAGAAAATGAAGTCCTAACCTATCAGGAATACGATATTGACTATAATAGAAACCAATAGTAATATGAAACTATGGTTCAGAAGGGTACAACACTGAAAGTAATTTTATGAAATGATGCATTTGATTTTACACTTCCTATTATTTTTGTTCACTCTAAGAGTCTCGTCTTAGATAGAAGCCCTAGATAATTCAGCTTTGTCAGTCCTATTCAATCAAGCTTGAAATTATCTGATATTATTAATGAAGGTAAACCCTGGACTTAGATTTAGGTGAACAAGGAAATGAAGTCCTAACATATCAGGAATACAATATTGTTGCTAGGAATATTGACTATAATAGAAACCTAATAGTAATATGGAACTATTACCAATACTAGTAATAGGAAGCAGTGACTGATTTGACTAATTAATAATTTGAAGGATTCTTGAGCGGATCCACTAGGCCTATCGCATTATAATGTTCTATAAGTACTTAAAGACCAAGTGTATCGAGATTAGTAAAATATGAAATTTACTGTGCATGGTCTATTACTACGTATTAATAAGTGTTTAATTACATTTATGTTTTGAACCTGAATAACCAGTGGCCTTATTCGGGCAAGTTCATTGCAACCAAGTTGCATTTGGATTGGAAATTTATTGACGTTGGCAAATTATTGTAACATTGTGGGATTAGAATCACTGAAATGTTGTTTGTTTCAGATACAAAGACCGATTTGTTACTTCACTGCCGCCTTCGCGTAGGCTAAGTGCAGATTTCTCTAGGCCTGTCTTTACTGCTGTAGCATTTTATTTGAGTGCCAAAAAGCACAAGGTATTGCATAGTATAATCTGCTGTTTGTGTATTGAAAATTTTTTTGCCATTAATCAGTAGAAATGTCTAATTTTCAATTTCCCATTTGTTTTTAGTTGAAGGTGGACAAGGTTAAGTTAATTGAGATCTGTGGTACTTCAGATTCTGAATTTGCAAGTGTATGCATCTTTTCACTTCTGACTGCATTACTGTTTAGTTCAGCACCATTCTGTGTGCTTATTCAATAAATGTTGTTGCAGGTTTCTACATCCATGAAGGACTTGTGCTTTGATGTTTTTGGGATATCAAAGGAAAAGAAAGATGCCAAAGAAATCCAAGGCAACCGAGGTAATGTCCAATCCTTAACAAGCACTTTTCCATGCATGGAATGTCAAAAGGATTGCAAGATAGTACAGTAGTTTATCATGTCTTGCCTTGTTCGTGCAGAGCTGCTTGATGCTTTGCCTGAGAAGAGAAGGATAGAGGATGGTGGCTATTCATCTGACGAGGATCAGGTTATAAACATAGCTTCAATGTTTTTGAGTTTATACCTGATTCCGTCACTTCAGTATACACTAATACTTACGCTATCCATTAACTTTGTTGGGGACTCACTTTAGCCATGAACTAAAACTTGGAACCAATATAGTAATCATACATATTTGGTTAAATATGTGGTGATTAAATTGCTCCGTTAAACTTGGTTGATCCATTTAGAGCTAAATATGCTTCCTGATTAAATTGAAGTCAAGGACCAAATTAAGTCCAACATGCAAGGATCAATTGAGTAATAGTGTATAGTTGAGAGACGAAATTGGGTATTGACCCTTTTTCTATCAATTGGTTTTAGTATTGGTTCAAGGCAGAATAGCAGTTCTAACATTTTGCGGTCAATGCATCTAAAAATCTATTTATGCATCAATTGACTAGATGATGCAGTGCAGTTTTGTTAATGTCTATATCTCTATGGTAGTTCTTGAATTTGCTATGTCTCCAATGTTTTCAGTCTTGCTACAAGAGGCAAAAACTAATGCACAAACAAGAATATGAGAAGTGGAAATCTACGGTTGTGAACTCCAACCATCCCTGCAAATCTAAAGGTTGGCTGTTATTAATACACTTGAGTGTTCACATTATGTTGAAGGCTTGAAGCCATACTGTGATATATTTTCTTTTAACTAATGTTATCTTCATGTTTGTAATCTCTAGCTCCGTTGAAGCGCACCAAACAAGCCCGGCTAAACTTCCCGAAAAAGGTTTCAGAAACAGAAGTAGACGTGGCATGACACACACGCAACATGCTTGTAGGAATTGTCAAATGGAATCAAAATATTTTGTGTTGAAGTATAACATGGTAGAGTAATTTTAAAGATTAATCGAACAAATTAAACTAGTTAAGGAAAGAATAAAATATTCTCCACTAAATCATGGAGGGGAAAAGCACATATATAAAGGCCTAAAGGGTAGCCTCTTGGAGGATGCTTATATAACTTAAAGCTTTGGTGAATTCAGCCAACCCTGGACCCTAATATAGAAACGGTTTGCTTATCTTTGGATTGTTATTTCTGTCTTACTTCTAAGCTTCATTTTTATGTTTGATTGAATAACTTAACATCATTTAGGATTTAGCTGTTGACATTTGCCCCCCAAAACTAGTGCTGTTATTTGATTCCAATAAGGTCTGGCCTGAGCTCGGGTGTTTAAGAATTCAATCTCAAAACCGAAGTTGAGTTAAGCTTGTTTGAGTGATATTTACACCTTAGGTTGGACTTCAAATTGAGTTTTAAACTGAATTCAGCTTGTATAGTTTACGGTTTGATAATTAAATCAAGCTGAACTTGAGCATTAGCATGTTGACCCCAACTTGTGGTCGAGTCATATTTCTGTCGTATAAAACTCTACCCAAAAGGTACAATCTTTTGTACTATGCTAGCACTTATAAGTTTGAGCTTGAACAATTTAAAGCTCCTTGAACTCAGTTCCAACTCGGTCAAGTAAAAAAGTTATACTTGAACTTGATTTTAAAGCTCACACAAGAAACCGCTTACTCAACTCAAGAAACTTGAATTGTGTAGAAGCCTTGTCAAGTATGGAAATACTCAACTTTTTAGCTATGCACCCATGTATTTACTCGAATAAGCTCGTCAAGTAAAAAAATTAGACTTGAAATTGATTGGAAAGCTCATGCGAGAAAGCTCATACCCAACTCAATTGTGTGCCGGTCTTGTCAAGTATGAAATCAATTTTAGCTAGAACTAGACTCGTGAGTCCTTTCTGGTAACTAGTGGTGGACTCGGGCAGGGTGGCCCGACCCGGAACTGGAACCGGCCCGGTACTGTTGGGCTCGGCCCGACCCGGTGGCCCGGCTAGGGACCGGTCCGGGTATGCCCGGCCCGGGGGTTTTTCCGGTGCGGGCTTGGGTCATGTAAATAAGGAACCGGCCGGGCCGGGCCTGGTTCGGGCCATATATTTTTTTGTTTTTTCAATTTTTTTTTTTGAAAACCTGGGTTGGGCTGGGTATTCTGGGCCATTTGGGTTGGTTTGGGGTGGGGTGAGGGGGGGTCGGGGGTTAATTAGGAAAAGGAAAAAAAAATAGAAATTGACCCGAGGCCCGCCCGGCCCGACCCGGACCCGGAGCCGGCGGCAACTTGGGCCGGTCCCGGGCCTTCCCCCAAACACAAAAGGCCCGACCGGGCCTAGGCCTGGCCCGGGCCCGAACCGGCCCGGCTCCACCCCTTTTTGTAACTTGAAATCAATTTTAGCTTGATTCATGTCAAGTCTAACATGTGACTTGGAGAGTACTTAATCTCATGCACCCCTACATAACATGTGACTTGGAGAGTACTTAATCTCATGCACCCCTACACATTTATGAAGTGCTCATTAATCAAAATCCCAAAGCATGGGAAATCACCTCTATTTGTTGTCTTTATTTCTTTCTTTGTAGCTCGAAAGATGGTATATAAAGTAGATTCACTCATACATGAGTTTGATTTTGAGAATGATAGAACTGTTCTATTAAAGTTTTAGCGTTGAGACCTCACTTTAGGTATTCTCTACTAGAAGTAACGAGTATTATTAGGGGTGGGCAATTCGGTTAATGGTTTGGTTTTCTTCGGTTTCGGTTTATCCGGGTTGGGAGAATTTGTACCAAACTAAAACCATTTGTGTTTCGGTTTGGTTTCAGTTCGGTTTGAAGTTCGGTTTACCAAAGTAAAAAATATTATGTTTAATTTAGTTTGGTTTGATTCGTTTGCTTATGTTTATTATTTTGTTTGATCAAGTTTTATATTTTAGAATTAGAAAATGAAAGTAATAGTCCATCTCATCTTTTTTTAATTTATTGATTATTTAAATAAAATGTAATAGGAAATAAATGATAGAAAAATAAATAATAAAACATTATAAATTAAAACTTCTAACATCTTTTTATCACTGCAAAAAATTCACTTCTTACAAAAAATAAGATACTTGATTAGCATTTGTAATATCACAAACAATATTCAAAAAACCTAAAAGAGTCGGTGGTACAAATGTTGCAATATTCACAATTTTATTGAAATGAATCATGTAAAAATATAAATGCAATTTGCCATTGTTATCGTCAAACACAATATATACTTCGTACAAATATGTCGTATTAGCTAACTTTGTCATAATGAATGTATGAAATGATATGAGTATATGCTTAAATATGTATATTCATGTCTAAATTATTTATTTATATCTTAAAAATGAAGAGTGAAGATAAATGCAAAGTATATATATGTGTGTGTGTGTGTGTATGTATGTATGTATGTGTGTATGTATATGTTGTTTGGTGTTCGGTTTACGGTTTTTCCGTTTTAAACCAAACCAAACCAAAGTACCAAACTATTCGGTTTGAGCAAATGTTTACCAAACGGGTTACTTAAGTAAACCCAAACCAGACCAAATCAAACCACCAATGTTAATAATATATGATTTTTTTGAGTTTCTTTAGTTCGGTTCGGTTTTGTTCGGTTTTTATCGGTTTCGGTTCGGTTCGGTTTAATAGAAAGAAATAGTACCAAACTCAAACCAAATTGCATACGGTCCGGTTTCGGTTCGGTTTAGTTCGGTTTGGTACGGTTCGGTTCGGTTAAACCAAACCGTTATGCCCACCCCTAAGTATTATGCTCTGACACCACATTCACTGATTCACACCACATGTTATTGTTTGTCTGTGACAAATACATACATAATATTTTTTGTTCGTAAAAAAAAAACGATTCTCTTTACAAGCGAAAAACATCGTCCGCACGTAAATAATTTGACAAACGTATAAAATGTCTGTGTACAATTTGATAGTGCACAAACAAAGTTTCCATAAAATACTCTCCCCTCCCATTGAAAAGTTCTCAATTTCTCTTTTTGGACGTCGCATATATAGGTTCTCATTTCTATTTTAGGAAACAATTTACAATTTTAAATGACAATTTTATCATTAAATAGTAAAAATATTACATTTATAACATCACAGTTAGCAATAGTAACCACATTATATTACATATCTATTGAAATTATTTCTCAAAATATAATCAAATTACCTTATTTAATTATTGTCTAAATAATTGTCCTGTTTTGGATGGAGACACTAACATAAAATAATTCCTACGTACTCTGTATTTTTTCTTCCTTAGACTAGCTGCAATCTTGGAGTTTAGGAAAAAGTTTACCTTAGAATCAATGATATAGGAAAGGGGGAAAGTGAATGACTATAACTTAGAGTGTGGAATAATCAACTCACTTTTCACTCCCAAGAGAGAAGAAAAAACAAAAAGTAGGGGAAAGGGGGTGCAACGAACAAAAAGTAGGAGATGAGCCCCATGTTAATTTTTATTATTATTTTATTTAAACTCATATAATTTTTTTATTTGTATTCCAATTTTTACAAAAATAAATAAATTAAAGTTTATAATTTTTTATTACCTTTCATATGACACCAATATTACCTATATAATTTCTTTAAAAAATGCATGGGTGAATATATTGACAGTGTTGAATAACATGAAAAAATTGGATTGACGTAGTGAATACACCAATATGGTACAAATTGATTGGGGATTTAATTTATTAGGTTGGAGATAGTCTTATGTCCATTCCTTTTTATTACTGAGTACTACGCACAAAATAAATAAATAAATAAATAAATAAAACCGAACTCCGTGGCTCCATGTAGAGCTTCAGATTCATAAAACCTAAATGGTACTCCATATTTGACATCCAACTTTAAACTCTCTTATGGCCTGTTTGTTTGAGAGTTAATCTAGGTTATTGCAGGTTTAATTTTTAGTTAATCTCGTTTGTTTGTATTTTTGCAACAAGAACCTAGGTTATGACTTAACCTCACATAATTCCCGAGAATCTGGAAACACCTCAAATTGTAGAACCTCCGAAGTGAAGGGTTTTGGAGGTTAAATTCTCGTACAACATAAAATAAGCTAGAGTACCTTCATCCAAACAACATTTATTACATTAACATAGATTCACCTTATTTATTTTCAAACATTATTTTAGGCATGAACCTAGGTTCCCTTAAATTAACCTAGTTTTTATTAAAGCTTAAATTTACTTTATTGCACTAGATTTAGTTAAGTGCACTTTATTCAAAAAGAGCATAATAAACTTTCATATTCATTTTTCTCTTACGATAGTATATTGCATGTATACCATTGGTCTAGCGTATGTCCTTAGATTTTATTTCATTTCAATCAAATACTCTGAATTCTGAACCCTAGCTCCGAGTAAAAGAAAATAATTAAATTAGAAGGATAGTGTAGAGGGAGAAGGAGTGATTGAGATGGGGGATAGTGTTAGTGGAGGATATGTATCGGATGAAATGCTGGGAACGTTTGCGCCGATAGTGGTGTATTGGTTGTACTCCGGATTCTATTCCTTGCTGGGAAGTTTTGAGAATTACAGGTTGCATTCAAAGAAAGATGAAGATGAGAAGAATTTAGTCACTAAGAAGGAAGTTGTCAAAGGTGTAATCCTCCAACAGGCTGTGCAGGCCATTGTGGCCACTATCCTCTTTGCGGTGAGCTTCTGCTATTGAATGAATTTGATGATAGCTTTTTAGGTGCTCTGCTGAAATTAATATGGTTTTAATGCAAAAGGGTCCTTTATTATTTTAATTTCCCTTTTGTATGCATACTTGATTTCTCTTAAGTATGTGCTGCTGTGTTGTGTTTTAATGTTGAGTACAGGCTGTGTTCTGATTGATAACACTTATATTGGAAATATGCTTTAAGAAGAAATTAAATCATGATGTGACATCTTTCCTTTTTGTTTAGACCTATTCCAAGGTCCAAGGAGTTAGGAAGATGGTGGATTAGATATTATACTATTCAAGTTTACCCTTGCGTTGTATGGATAGCTTGCTTTCCTTGTATCAAGTATATAGCCATAGTTGAGGGTAATATAAAACCCAAGCCTACTGATTTAAGGAACATCAACTTGCACCCGATGACCCGAAGAACATTAGTTGCTTCTTTTTATATATAGGTGTATTATAAAGAAATACTCCATCCGTTCCCAAAAATACTTC